ACAAACATTAACAGTTGAGTCCGAAAGATTATCAGAACAGGGAGACTGCAACACTCTGAAAATATGAAGAAACAAACATTAACAGTTGAGTCCGAAAGATTATCAGAACAGGGAGACTGCAACACTCTGAAAATATGAAGAAACAAACATTAACAGTTGAGTCCGAAAGATTATCAGAACAGGGAGACTGCAACACTCTGAAAATATGAAGAAACAAACATTAACAGTTGAGTCTGAAAGATTATCAGGCTCACTTGGGTTGTTTCCCTTTATCTAAATAACCTTAAGTATAACTAAAATACACAATTGAACACTATATTCAATACATTGGGCAAAAGATTTTATCAGGATATAATTTCAGAGATGTAAATATTAAAGTCATGAATAAATTTATCATTAAATGTTGGACAGCTACTGTGTTTTATATATTGGTAGCACTGACACAAAGGAACTACTACATGTTGGACAACTACTGTGTTTTATATATTGGTAGCACTGACACAAAGGAACTACTACATGTTGGACAGCTACTGTGTTTTATATATTGGTAGCACTGACACAAAGGAACTACTACATATTCACTGTCATACCATAATCATGTTAATAGATGTTTTAGTTCTAGCATTAATAGAAGTTGATCTTGCAGAGAGGCATCAGGACAGATAGTGTTATTTTCATTTGAAAAACTAGTGAATAAAATAACAATATTATTTTACACATGCGAAGAGAGAAAAATAGTACTAGCAGAGAAAGAGGTATTTTTATAACTAGTCAACTCATACTGTTATAGTCAACTAGTGTTGCAGTCAGTTAGGTGGCTAGTTGTTTAAGTAGTAGTTTGATAGTAAGTAAATTGTATGTCTCTATGGAGAATGGTCTTAAACAAATTCTTGTAAGACCTCCATTAAATTTCTTTAGCAGGATAAGATTTTCATTGTTCATAAGTCAAAAACCTGGTTGAAGTTTCTTGTTTATGAGAGACTTACAAGAAAATTAAAATTATTTCTTGCAACCTATACATATCTTGCCATGCATGGAGACTGACTGAGCTTCAGCAGTCTTCAAAAACCTTTGAATAAAGAATAAAAGTTTATCATTGTAACTGCTTTCTGAGATTTAAGTTTTTAACTCTTTCTATATGGATATTTTTCTGCACAACTCATAAGGTTTTAACATTCCAAATTTAATTAAACTACTTTATTATAATATACAAATAATCTTAGCATCAAATAATAGCTAATAAATCAAATTTTAATAGTATATAAGATTAAAGTTCTTAATTTCATAAGGAAATATTTTTACAAATCCTTAATTTCCTTTAGTATGAGAATTTTGACATTTGCTCTCTATGTCTTCCCTCTTCTCTCTCTATATATATATTTATTTACCACCCCACACAAAAGTACCCCTCTTCTCTAATTTACTTACCACTCCTCTCAGACAGAATTTAACATACATTACTTATAATAATTTTGTTATTAGATAGGCAAAGCATATTTTTTAATAGCAATCAATCTTATTTCATTACAGAGCCACAAACTAGAAAATCAGACCCCTCTTGCCACACTCACCTCTCATATCCTCTCTTTCACAAATTGCCAGTGGTTCTCTGTGACATTTAATACTATATTATTTATAACCAAAGTTTTAATTTATCAATTTATTTTCTGTACAGAGAATTGTCTTTTTTGCTTCGAGTACAAACTTTATTCCCACAAAAAACACATCAACAAACTCTGCTGAATTTTTAATGGTTCTTATTGCATAGTTAGAAAACCAGAAAAATTATGATAGTTATAGGATATTGTTTGCTTTCTATGTGTTATTACTTTGTGTTCTCAGGTGCATTATTTAATTAAATAAAAAATTATGTATTGCAGTAGTATCATTAGCATATAAAAGTAGGGTTAAGTTTCATCAACAGTTAACCACAAAAAGAAAAAAGATCCAGGTGAGTACTTTATTTCTTGTTAAAGGGTATAACAGTATACAGTCTTCAATTTCTATACTGCTAGAGAAGGTAATGTGAGAAATGTAGATTTAAATAAAGTAAAAAGTTTGCCTATAGAATAAGTAGTTCAGATATATAAAAAACAAGCTGAGGTACCCATCCTTTGTGTGGGTTATGAACTTAAAAAAATGTGGGGATGGGTGCTATGATAAATAACACAAACTTTCACAAAATTTATTTATAACATAACATATTATTACAGTGTTCATTATTATTTCATCAAAAGTTGTGTATAAGCTGTAAGAACTCAATAAATATGTAGTTAAAAAATGGTGTACACTGTGCAATGGTCAGGGTGACTTTATAGGAAGAGGTACCAGCCAAAGTAGTGGTGGTAGGGGTGCTTTCTGTTACCAGCTTTTAACACCCAGCTCTTAATGCCCTTCTATTGTGTTTCACATGATTAATGAATTGACAGTTATTAGCTGCAGAAGTGTCTTATGGGCCGAAGTTGAATGGTCATGGGTCATATTAGGAAGCTCATATCTCAGCAAATAGAAAAGATAGGAGGTTCTTATTTTATATTCTAGCTTGTCAGTATTGGTAATTTGAGTTACAAATTTGTACAAAACTATAGAATTTGTATTTTGACATCACAAACATCTAATTTGAACCAGTGCTGCATTCAACATACCACGAGACACGCAAAAATCAATGTTTAGGTGTGTGTTTTTAATATTTACTTTTAAATTAAGAAATTAAATAATGTATAATACTAAAATTTGAATTGTAATCTACAGTTTGATACTAAACTTAATGACATAAATTCATAAAATAGTAGTTCAATAAAATTCTGAATGCGAGTCAACAAATGCGATGATATTACCTTGACCGTGATTCGTATGGAAAGGGTCTTCGTATCCATCTGTTGGTCACTGTTGGAATAGAAAATTCAGCTGAGTTTATGTAGTATTATAGTAGTAGCAGCCTTTTTTTTAATTGCATTCCTCCATAGAGAGTGTTAGTGTACTCTCTGAGATATTTGTGTGTCTTCCCCCACACTGTATGTTATTTTATAGGAAATTTAATAGTTTTTGTTGTTGTTTTTTCAGCATTAGGACATAGCACCATCTATGAATGTAGTTAACATACATCAAATATATTAAATGCTCAGTAACAGCAATAATGGGGCTGAAGGGCATTGTGACCCCTCCTCGATCCAAGCTACCATCCCATAAAGTTTGGTTGAGATTGGCCTAGTAGTAGTTAGATAATGGACAAACAGACAGACACACAGATTTTTATGCTTTATATTTATATATTATGCTTAAAATTATTTTTAACTAGTACAATAACAAGTTCTTAACTTACTATGAGATTTATAGGTATTAATCTTTATTTATGATGTATAGTTTCTCGTTTTATTTGCTTCCCTCTCTGTGCCATTTTGAAAGAGAAAGTGTAAAAACCAAGGCTATTGCTATTGGCTGAAACTTGTGATGTTTAGAGTAAATATTCATTTATATCAATTGCTTGGTGAAAAAACTGAGCTGTATCATTAGAATTGGCGAATAAGAGAACTGTTATGCTTTTATAACAACTATTGACAGTTGTCTGAACCTGTGATAAGCAAATTCCACATATCTCACTGACCTATAATACATATTCTTAAAATTTAAAATTTCTTGTAGTATATGCTATGATAATGATAGTAAAAGCTGTAATGTTTTTTTTTATTAAATTTTAGAAAAAAATCAGTTTCTTTTATGGTTCATTGTGTGTACAAGTAAAGTAACTTAATAATTTTTTGATTTTCTAAAATTTGTATTTGAAGCTTACAAAAGTTAATATCTCTTCATCCTCCACTCGGAAAAATAAACAAGGCTTATAGCAAGGCCTAGCACATTTGATGCACGAGCGCAACATTTTATAACACCATAAGTACTCAAAATCTTTGTTTTACAGTGTATTTTCTATTTATTGTTTCATGTTTTGAGAAAAACAACTGAAATTTAAACATTTATGAGTATTTAGTAATATATATACTAGCTGAGTTACCCGGCATTGCATGGTGAAAATTTAGATTTGAAATGTACAGATCAGTATTTCTTTCAGCAAATTATTCTGTGAATAGACAAAAGCTGTGAAGTCTAACTTTACGTTGTTCCAAAATCTCTTCCTGTATTTGAGCAGCCTGTCTTACAGCTTGTGCTTGAAGTCTTTGATTGCATTCTTCTTCTGTTTCAGCTGCTCTTTGTGCTTGCATTCTTTTAGAGGCAGAAGACTTTCCATAGAAATGGCGTTTCTTGGGCAGCATAATCACCTGTATTATTAAACAATAATTTGCAGTTCACAAAGTTACTAAATCACTTATGAAACCACTTAGCACTATTTAAAGAAAACTGTTTTTGGAAATAGTGAATTGACAGCAAGGTGATCTGAGTGTCTTCCGCCATAACGCTTTCTATGTGCAAAACATGCTCATGTTTGTATGTTTATTACAGAAAATGGTGCAATAATCAGTAATTGTCAATTTTGTCATTAAATACTACACCAAATACAAAAAAAATAGCACCATTAAATTTCTTATAAAAACTGGTTATTATGAAGTTATTTTAAAATTTTTAAGTTCAACCGTTTGATTTCCTATAGCGAACAAAATAAACAAATGAACAAACTTCCTCTTTTATATATATAGATACATACATATGTAATGTATGGTAGTCAAAATATCACTGTTTTCAACTATAATACTTGTATTATATTTAGATATTTGTATTTCATAGACCAATACAGAGTTATGCCCACTGAATGTTTGTTATTCTAATTGTTTTAACTGAGGTAAAATAAAAGCAAATTAGAAACATTGGAAACTTGACAGATTAAAAACAGGTTTATACATAATGTCAGGTTATGAATATGGGCTGGGATTCTTTACGGTGGGTGTCTGTGACTTGTTGGCAATAAATTTGAACAATAAATGGACAACACACAATCCACTTGTTTTGAAATAATATATTCAACACGAGTCAAATGTGTGTACAAAAAATTCTGTATACAATAGAATATCACAGTTGTATCTAAAACAATATAATTCTCTTGTCAAAAGTCCACACAAGCCAGTTCAGTTACTTTAGAACCCAATTGACTAGATGAATTATTTTTCTCTACACTGTTTATTACTGTACAATCTGCAATAAATTCACTTGCATTTATTATTTTTGCAAATTATTATTTTTTTGAAAGTCAAAAATGTAGTATACACTTTGTTCATAAAATTGTGATAATAAAGATATTTCTTCGTATGTAAACAACATTAAAACAGTAACTCGTAAAGCTTTCAATTCATTAGTATTGACCATTATTCAGTACCTGTTTATCAAACCAAGTAATAAAAGCTTTAAATATCTCCAGATGTATGAAACATGTTTCAGTATGTCATCACAAAAGTTTAAATGTAAATCTTTGTATCATATTTTGTAAGTTAAATATACACACAGGACGTTTAATGCATTGAGAGTTATATGTATCTGGGAGTAATATGTGTTAATGGTTATGAAAACCTTACAATGACCAACCAATTTTTTATGTAATGATAAGCATATTTGTTATAGCAACCCCCTTTTATTTCTGTGGTGTATCAATTACAGAATAAGATAAAATTTATTTATTTGTTGTGTTAGTGTTCTTTTATTATGATAGGTATTTATTGACCTAAAAATGTTTTTTTTTAACACTGTCATAGGTGGTTACACTAAATCATAGTTTGACTGAAACTGTGTCGTCAAGTCAAACGCTCCAACAGCAGCTTCAGCAGTTAAAGCAAGAACTTTTGAGTTCTGAACAGGAGAAAACCAGCTTGCAGCAAAGGATGGAAGATTTGAGGTGTATTTTTAATATTGTTGTACAAACATGTAGTGTAGGTCATGCTTACTCTTTTAACATGAAGAAATACAAGCTTAACCTATTGACTGCAGTTGCTCTAAGCATGTGTGGAATTGTTGGAAGCTATACACTGTATACCGCACACTCGCATTCAATTGCAAGTCAGCAGTCAGTGGGTTAAGATATCTCTTGAACTCTGAAAGCACAATACTAAATCTATTAACTCTCTCCTTTGGGACAATTTATGGTTAGGATATTTCACTGCCGCTACTAATTAGTTTTTTTTTACTGATTGTAAACTATCTTTGAAAAAATTGCTTGCCAAATTAGGTAATATTATACATTTGTGTTGTTGCTTTAGTTTTTTCTTTATAAGTTTTTGTGGTTATAAATATAGATATTACATGGAAGACACAAAACAACAAAACAAATATATAGAAGAGCAGTTACAACAGTCAAAGAAAGAACTGAATGACGCAATTCTGAGATGTGAAGAAATGGATGAACAGCTGCGTAAAAGCAATCAGGTATTAATTATACTAGGAAACGTAACGATGTTAGTTCAGCAGTTTAAGAGATGTACAACAGGCTTGTCAAAAATAATACACAAAAGTTCTGAATTTTTACTTTCATCTTTGATTTTGTACCTCAGTTTTCTATTATAATATGATTTAGTCATGCTATTTGCAATTAGACATTTGCTGTTGGCCTGTGATGTATATTATTATCAGTGTTAATTATGGGGAGGTAATTCAAAAATCTAAGCCTTTTAGGACACTATCTGGCTTTGGTTTACTATTCTGGTCAATTTTGGTTATACTCAAATCAAAACTGTGAAACAAAATATGTATATTATAATATGATCAAGGTTTCACTGTATTGGTTTGGAAATAGTTATGTAATCAAAAGGGTAATAGTTTAATTTGTAGAAACATTGTTCAACTGAAGATTATACATGTTCATGATGATAAAGTAAACTTTCTTGTAGTGTTTTTTTATTGAGTATTTTTATTGCTTTTTCCACTGATATTCTGCTGTACGAATCAAAGTGTTTTAACTTAAAATTATGAAAAAAACTGCTAATTGTACATTGTTTCCCAAGAAATAAATTGTGTCCAAAAGTAAGACTTTAATTATTTAGCATTATCAGGTGAAACTGATTTCCTCTGAGAGTGACAAAATAGGTGTACAGGAAAGCAGAAGATTCAAACAAGATATTTATCAAAGTGTAGTTCTGAATTTTTCAGAGACTTACTGAGGTTTTGAATAGAAAATAAAGGCACTGGACACAGGGTAAAACATAATTAACAATCTTTATTATTTAGAACACAAAAACAGTGTTGGTACTTGTTTTGGATGCTGGACATTCATTTTAACTGAAACTGAGGTACTGTTCTCTCTCTCCAAACTGCACTCGATGAAGATTTCTTCCAGACTGACCAGGATTAGATCATGTACCAGACTGATTAAACTTAACATTTCTTAGTTATCTTGGTAATGTAAAACTTACCTTAAGCGACTAGTGTTATGCATGTGTCTTATCATTCCTGTTAACCCTTTAACTCAAAATTTTAGATGAATCATGATCAAAATATAGAAAATCTCACACCTTCACAGTAGCCACACCCACCATTTAACTCACGTACATGTACGTCTAGACTGAATTCTACTTATACAGCACTGGTTACCTGTTCTTAGTTCAAATTTCTTCAGGTCAATTCAGACATTACAAAAAAATAGATAATCTCACACCTTGACAATAGCCATGCCCACAATTTAACTTAGATATATTATTTCAAGCAACATGTATGTATTTGATGGCATTTTAATAACCAATAGAAAGAGTTCATTTTACACTACAACTTTCCAACTTTCAAAACTGGTACACAGCATTCCTTATCATGTACATCAAACAGTCAAAGCTTTGTTTACTGATTTCTTCCTTGCTAGTACTTGGCATTGTTTAGATAGATAATTAAATTGTAGTTAGGTTTGATTTTATATTTTGGTTAATTGTGTGTTATTTATGTTTTAAAATTCGTACATGATAGGCTTAATAACTTTTTAATATAACCCAAACTTCACCTCACTCTGCAAGATTTACATTACTAAGCGAGAGCAAAAACATTTTGCTGGAGGCTAAAGTATCTCTTCACTAGTTTTATTTTTGGAGTGAAATATTATGAGAGTTACATTATATCAGTGTAAATACATTTGGAAATATTGTGGAAGAATTCAATAAGCATAAAATAAGTTGAATAAAACTTAAATTATTTCAAATTTATAATAACCATTTTGAAATTAGGGGCAAGGGCTAGACTGTTCCAGTATGGAAATCTGGTTACCCTATTTTAAGAATGAAATTGATTTTCTCATCTTACAGTTTTTATATATATCATTTGCATAACCTCTAAAACTTCCTAAATGAATATCAAAATTTTTAAGAGTAAAAAAACACAAGATTCTTGGTAATGTGTTTTTCACACTTAATATAGTAGCACAATGTGCCTGAAAAGAAAATATCAAAATAAAGCCTTATCTGACATGCATAGGGTTTGAAAATAAATATAAGTTAACACCAGCACCATAAGATATTTTGGTTTTAATTCTTTGTGTTTGTGCTCATTGGTGATTGGCTATATTACAGAATATATGCATACTTGTTATAAGTCACTAATGAACACAAACTTCTGCTTAAGAGGGCTGTTTTCAAGCATACATATTTACTTGTATCTTAAGCAGAAATTTGTGTTCGTTAGTGACTGGCTGTTTTCAAGAATACATAATTACTTGTATCTTAAGCAGAAATTTGTGTTCATTAGTGATTGGCTGTTTTCAAGAATACATATTTACTTGATGTATCTTAAGCAGAAGTTTGTGTTCATTAGTGACTGGCTGTTTTCAAGAATACATAATTACTTGTATCTTAAGCAGAAATTTGTGTTCATTAGTGACTGGCTGTTTTCAAGAATACATAATTACTTGTATGTATCTTAAGCAGAAGTTTGTGTTCATTAGTGACTGGCTGTTTTCAAGAATACATAATTACTTGTA